CGCACCACCTGGGGCTTCACTGCGGGTGATAATCGAAAGAGGAAGGAAATTCGGGAGGGAAGTTTCAAAGGAACTCGAAGACGCGGGCTGTCGCCCAATAACCACAACTGCTGCCGCGCCGCAGCAGCACGCAACCGTGGAAACACACGGAGGCATGTGGATTGCCCACGCCAGTAAGCTGATCGACGAAATCAGAAAAAGGTTCGACCAGAAATTGTTCAGCCCCAAATTCGACCACTTCAGCATCAGGATTGCTTGCGAGACCCCACGGCTGCTCGCCTCTGCTTGCTGGGCACTGAACAGCGCAGTCATGGCCAGTTGCTATTCACCAGCTCAGTGGGCACTCGGACATGGATCTCGATTGCCACGCCGCCTGCCGGACAAAACGGGAAGGCCTCCATGGCGCGAGAGCGCCGTGTCCGACAAACCCTTATAATAGAGGATCGCCATCGCGAAGGCTGCCCAGACCTCCATCCAGCAACTTCGCTTTAACGGGTCTCTGCCGCGGGCTCTGCTTGCCCGCTCGCTAGCAGATGGAGCTGAACATGCCCGCGACGCCTGCCGAACTGGCGAGCAGGTGCGCTCTCTGATGGGGGGGGGGGGGGCGGCAAGCCTAAGCGCGGGTTGGCGTTGCAAAGCGCGGCCACTGGCGTCGCCGTCGGACTCGAAGGCGCCTCGGACGCGCGTCGGCCGCCACCCCGACACCGCGAAGGTCAGGCGAGGGCACCTACGACGCGCGTCCGCGTCGGAGCCCGTGCCCTGGGGGCAGGTCTTGAATGCCCTCAACGGCAACCAGCCGCCGCCGCCGCCAAGGCAGCCGCCGGCAGATCAGCGCCGACCCCCCAACGGACCAGGTCCGGGAGGAGGAAATGGCGGACCGACACCGTCACAAGGCGGAGAAGACAGAGGACTACCACCACCCGCGAGCGGAGATGAGCATCGCTCAACCGATCCCCACCCTCAGCGGCGCGGCCAGGGCCCCAACGGCCGATTTACCCCCCCAGATGGGGATATATGCCGTTTCCTTCGGGTTTCGAAGGGTGCACCCCCAACTGGGGCGTTAATTTGGCGGGCGTCTTGGGCGGGGGCGGGGGCGGGGGCTGGACAAGCGATGCTGAGGAGGAGGCGATGAGGACTCGTTGATTGACCTCGCAGGCGCTGCGCCACAGAAGCGCCACCGAACGCGAGATGCACAGTAAGTGCCAACGGCCTTGACCGCGCCTCCGGCGCCCGCCCCCGTCGCGCAGCTCAACTCGAAATGTCGGAGACGCCCCTGGAAGGCGCCGCGCCCATGCATTTGCTGGTATGTCCTGTCGGCGGCATGGCGATGACGACTCCGCTGCGAGTGGAGGTGCTAGTTACAGCGGTGCGGCACCTGCCCCTTTCGGGAGGAGAGCGTCTGCCGGCGCCTCCACCGCCGCAGGTGGAGCTACCTGCGCCACCTGACTCAGGAGCTGCTGCCGCCTCGCCAAGCGCGCCGGTTGGCCAGGCTGACCCGCCGCCAGCCGCGCAGCCTGGGAGATTTCAGACTGGCGCGCCCGAGCCAGCGCCAGAAAGACCTGTCGAATGAGACGACGGGTCCGACACGATGCGCACCTCGGCCAAAACAACGGAAGAAACAAATCGCCAAGAAACGGGGTTGCTCGGAGGCCTCGAACTCTCGGGGGCCAACGCGGGGCGCCGACCGGCAGGCGCGACCTGCGCGAAGACGCGCCCGGGGCCTTTCAGCGAGATGGGTTCGAGGAGACGGACGGACGTCCGCGCTCGCGCCGACGAGCGCGAAGATCTCCGGCGCGACCTGCGCGAGCGCCTCGGGGAACCACGAGACGTCGGCCAGACCGACATCTAAGTGGGCAGCTATTTTCCCAACGAGATCCCGCTCACCAGGAAGGCCGCCGCCAGGAGCTCAAGTGCCGCGCCCTGTCCACCGACGCGAACCTTATGGATGACGCCGTGAAGGTCGCGTGGCCTAAGCGGGCGGGCTCTGGCGCCCGCGCGAAACTGCCGCCCAAGAAGATGCAGGGGCACCTCTGGCGCAGACCCAGGACGCGCCCGGTCGGCGCGCGCTGGGTGCTCACCCGCAAGGCCCCGAACCTCATGAACGCCCGCCACGTGGCCCAGGGCTGCCAGAAAGACGAGCCCCAAATCTGCGCCGACGCCCCCGCCGGAACAAACCGTGCATTCTACCGTAACCTCGGGCTGGCTGCCGCTGCCCAGTCCGGCTGGGGCCCAACGTCCGGCGATGCCATGGCGGCGCGCCTCCTGTCGGGCAACATCGAGAGGCTGCTGCCCTGGCGCGCGCCCGCGAGATCGCGCCGCCGGGGGCCCTTCCCGGCGAGGTCGCGACGGCGACCTGCGCCATCTACGGCGCCTGAGGCGCTGGGCGGCAGCGGTGCCTGCGCGCCCAGAGAGTCTTCAAGCAGCGTGGCGTCATCGAGAGCAAGCTCGAGGAGGTCCCCATTGCTTCTGCGACGGCAACGGCCTCGCCGCCATGGCGGGCCCACACGTGGGCGACTTCCTTGGCGCCCAGCGCCGCAACTCCAACGCGTGGAAGAGCACCATCGCTTCCCAAAGAAGGAACTCGACCTCAAGAGAGCGGAAAGGACCATCGCATGCCGCGCCAAGACCATCGCATAACCCGACGAAGCAATCTGGGTCGCTCAGGCGACTGCCCCGCTCGCCGTGCAATGTAGGCGATCACCTGAAGACCGACTTTCCAACGACGCAATCTCAGACTAACGGCTCTGGCTCACCGCGCAGGCCTAGGCCGACGTCGCCTGCCCTGTGAGCCCCGCCGCTAGCCGCGCCAACTTTGCCACCATGGCCGACGCCACGGTCCTGCACGAAACAAATCACCAACGCGCGCGGACCCGCCGGCTTCGCCATCGTGCCCAAGCGGAGCATTATCGATTTTATTTCGTGCACGACAGTCTGCTTCAGAGAGATCGCTGTCGCCAACGTGGGGCATGGCCATGGGCCTCATCCGCAGCCCGCGCGCCGTCGTTGAAGGCCGTCGCGACCTCTGCTTATCCGCTGCCTGGCACTCAAGCGCAGTCAAAGAGGTCCGCGGAGTCTACGCAGGCCGCGGAGGGCTACGCAACGCTCGCGCGACTTGCTCTTTACGGAGGCCCAGAAGTCGAAGAAGCCGCTCAAGGAGATCAGCGAACCCAGTCTCAATCGCCCAGGGGCGGCCTACAACGACAGCAATGGCCCGGTCACGCACATCCAATTGGACGTTGGCTAGCCCACTGACAATCGGTTCCGGATTGTCGCCTCCATCATCAAGCAGCCCGTGCGCCCCAACAGTGAACTCCGTTTAATCTGGATCCCCACCAGGAGCATGGTCGCCTGCGCCCTAAGCAAGGTCATGGAGACGGGAATCCTACTCGACTCCTTCGGCTACACAAAGCACAACTACGGCACCAGACAGTCCAACGCTGCCATGCTTGCTTCGGTCCTGGTGGCCTGCATCGGAAAAAGGGTCAAGGGTCAGCCCACGCCGCCGCCGCCAGTCGACCTGAGATACCTCTGGTACACGTGCTACCCCACCTGCTTCGCCATGTTCGTCGGTATTGCTCTCGGGTTCAAGTATGTTCGCGGCCAGCTGGCGCACCACGCGCCAGAACGGGCACAAGGGGGCCCCGCTGCCAAGCGAATCAAGGCCCACGGCGCCGCAAGGGAGCATCACCCAGGGTGGGACTGCCGCCGACGGGGTAAGACGCCGCAGCGGGCGTCCGGCACCCATCCCACGGGGCGCCGACGGGGACGTGGACATGGCGGACCCGCCGCCGTGGTGGCCATCGCCGCCACCATCGCTGCCGCCCATAGCACGACAGGCGCTGCATCGTCGTCAGGGCCAACTGCCGCCCCATCACCGCAGGAAAGCTTCCTGCCAGCATCATCAGCCCCATCGGCATCGCTCACGGTGTCGAGCGTGGTGTCATGGAGCGGATCGGCGCCTACGGTCTCGACGCTGGAGATGCACAGCTGTATCGCGCAGGGACATGACATAGGCATTTGTCACAACTCGCACAGCGTGTACATCACCTGCAGGACCTACAGGCGTCATGCAGCCTGGCTTCGTCGCAATTTCCGCCTTCATGCTCCAAAGTTCACGAAGATGCATCATACGGTAAGGACCGAACTGGAGAACCGTTGGAGGAAATATTGACGGCATGACGCCAGTGAAGCCGAAGCCCCCAGTGATGGGCAAGAAAGATACGTGAATCCGTATGGGAACTTGTTTTGTGTGTTCGCCGCCGCCCAGAACCGCTGCTATCCGCAGCCACTTGACGTACTGTCACGTAAGAGAACTTCAGATCATGTTTTGCGTTTGCGCACTATGTGCTAGCGGTGATGATGATCACCCCCTTATTTGCTCTACTACCGCGGTTTCCGCCTAGCACCGTCGTATTATAACAATAGTAAGAACCGTTCGGCCGAGACCCTGTTGAATTGAGCCTGCAGGTGCGTGAAGAATGCACCCGTTTAATCGCCCTGAGGGGAGCCTGCACATAGCATTCCGAGCAAGCCGTTTACTTTCCATCTGGTGCGAAGGTGTGCTGAGCCCGGCACTCCCGCCACCTAGACTATTTTGATAATACGTCTCTGCTTCATGTAGCCGCGAATGACTCGATCGATAGTCACCGGAGGAGTGTGAATGGAGCTCGCCTCCGAGAGCCCCGAGCGTGTCCTAGAGGCCCTTCTGGGCCCCGCCAAAGCCTGAACTCTCGTTCACTCCCTGCTCTCTGCATGTGCGGCTCTTACCCCGCTCGTCCGCGATCACTGTTGCCAAATATGTTTCAAGGCCCTTGGCCGTAGAACTACGCCAGTTGTCCTAGCCGCGATCACAGCACAAAACTATCCCTTGTGCTGCGCTCCTGTCTATTATCACACCCTTCTCCTCCCCCCCTTACTCCTTGCCCCCAACCTCCACCTTACGACCCCACCGGTTCCCCCTCGGTCCCCGTCCTCCTCGTCATCCGTCCCCCCCTCCCCTTGCCCACTCGGGACCCTGGCCCAGGAAGCGCGCGACTTCGCACTGCTCCAAGCGAAGCGTTGGCCTCGAGGCCGCGCTCGGCCGAGCACAATCTGTCTGCGGGCGGCCAGGGCGGCCGGCCCGGAGGCCCAGCGCTGGCGCGGCGCTCCCACCCTCCGAGGTCGGTTGACCCCCAGGATCGGTGCATACGCCCTCCTGGCGTGCCCAGGAGGGCCCATGCACCGATCCTGGGACAAAGGATCGGCCTGACCAGGGTCGGCGGGGGAGCACCAAGCCGAGCCACTACCACCAGGAGCGCTGCACAGGGATCGAAGCCAGCTTTGGGGCTCCAGAAGCGCGTGTGTGCGCAAAGAGCGCTAGAGGAACAGCCAGGGGAGGACCTGACTACCTACCAGACCACCCCAACCCAACCCGAAGACCCGAATTTCGGGTTGGGGGGGTAAGGGTTCCACACGTGTTTTTTCTATGTTTCCCGACCCCCCCCACTGGAAATCGAGGGTAAATCTGAGCCTTCGGGTTGGGTTGGGGTGGTTTGGTGGGTGGTGAGGACCTGAGGAACGGGGAGCCCCTTTCCGAACACGAACTGACCCTTGGCTCACCATCTTGGCTGCAGCTGGCGCCCTCCGATCATCAGCCTGCCGCGTGGGCCCCGGAGATCTCGGCCTCCTCCTCTGAGCGACAGAACGAGTGGATCGGCGTGTATAGGACGTGCAGTACACCACGCGAAATGGTTAAGAAATCATGGGTTGAGAAATTCATGGTCTCAGAACTTGAATAAAAACCCAACATTTCTATCAACATCTTAGGATTTACATTGAAACGTTAAGAATAATCGAGACTCTGGCCGAAAACTTAAGTTTTCTTAACCATCGCCTAAGGTGTAATGTCATGATCGGATTGGCTCAAAAAGCGCTGCAGGATTTCCAGAACAGCTACTGGCCCTCGTTTCTGCAGTCTGCGTGGAGCACTCAGACATCTGGGAGACCCTGGAAGCCTCGGAACATCTCCATGTCACACACTTTTGCTCCCGTGAACGCCTGTGAATTCCAGCTACCCGTGGGCCGCCCATGGTCGGCCCCCCTTGCAGTGCCCGAGGGCGCTGCCTGCTGCACCGTGACGGGCACGGGGCCCTGAGAGCACGACACCTCCGCCCCGCCACAACGGGACCCCGCCCACGAGGACGACGCCATTCCGCCGACCCCGACATGAGGAGATGCACAACTTACGATGTCGTGTGTGGCTGGTGGTTGCGCCGTGGTGTGTGCTTCCGGCGGAAGCAACAAAGACCCGCGCGCGGCCTGGTCTGCTTCGCCGAATGACCTGGGCTCCCGCCCCCATCACGGCCTCCCGAGGTCCACGGAAGTCTCCAGATGCCTCCGAGGGAGATCAGTGCGAGGCCCGAATTCAACACATATCCACCGCATGGGGGCCGATGTCCCAGGACCCTCAAGGGCGGACATATGACGTGGGCCCAAGGCGACTCGGCAACTTACGTCCACATCCGCCGCCTCCGTCGGGAAGACAAGTGGGCATCCATGCCGCTGCTCCTCAGGCCTCTCCTGGGAAAGATCGGACTAAGATTTCTACGCGAATCCAGCCGCAGCGATGACGGAAGGGGAGCAGCGTTGGTGCCGTTTACTCTCCTGATCCGTCCGCAGACCTACGAGGTCTCCGACGGCCAACCGACAGCGGCCCTGCCACGTGCCCTGCCCTACCGCCAGCGCAAGTGAGCATCGTCTGACCGATCCCTATCCTCGCTGGTTGGCTTGGGTCCCGCTGGCCGATTTACCTCCCTAGATTAAAATAGGCTCTTCCCTTCGGGTTTCGAGTGGCCTGTCCCAACTGGGATGGTGGGATCTTAGGGCTGAGATATCATGGCCCAGTTGGGATGGGGATTCGGTTAAACGATACTGGCCAACCAAGCCCGATACACAGGCATTGCCATGCACGGGCATCCTTGGATCCCGCGCAGGTGATCTTGGGGACGTGTCGCTGAGTAAACTCCTGGGGGCCCTTTGGACCCTCCTGAGGCCTCGGACTCTGGGCAGCAATCCTTTTCGGCAACTCCGAGGGGTGTGGTTTGCAACGGGTGTGGAAGTGTGGTTTGCAACCAGCACCCTTGGGGGCACCCTGGGGGGCGGGCGGGGAGCTTGATAGAGTTCTCCGCCGCGCCCCGAGGAGGTCCGACGAGGACTGCGCCGTGCCCCCCAGGCCCCAACGACGCCGATTGCAATTCACACTCTGGCGCAACTACACCCTTTGTATCGGGGATGGACAGGACCCCCTTTAGCAAAACGTGGTTTAGTGAAAACGACCTCGGGCCCAACCCTGGCGGGCGCAAGCCTGGAAAATGACGGCAGCGGTGCCCTCTGGAGAAGTGAAAACGGACAATTCACTAGTCGACGTGTCAGGGTGGGGGTTCTGCCCACCCCCGATTGTAGTCGCCGACCACTGTGGTCGCCGACCACTGCCCTGCCCTTTACCCTACCACTCCAGCCGGCGCGCGGTTCTCGCGGCGCACGGCCACGGCCCGCTGGGCGGTCCCCCCGGCGCCCCGCGGCCCGCGTCATGCCGGGGGCTCCCGCGGACCTCTCCGGGCGGGGCCACAAATGTGCCCCGCTCGGCGGCCGAGCGGGCCCAGCTGCGGGGGAACGTGCGGAGGGGACGGGCTCGGGAGGACATCGAGCTGGAATCGGCGATGCATCGCCAATAAATCGGCGACAGGCCCCCGATGGCGAATCCTCACGCGCCTGGGCGGGGTGGGCTATCGGGCCCCTATCGGCGATCAATGGGCTGTTGGGGTCGATGCATCCCCCCCTGAGCCTATGAGCCTATCCCCCCTGACGTCGGCCCCTGACCAGCTCCCTACTCGCCGCCGGAAGTCGAGCCTGCTCGGACGCAGGATGGACTCGGAATGCTCGGAGGTGGATCATGGGACAATTAGCGGACCCCGATTCTTGAGGATCACGGGTGGAATTCCGGTGACTTGATCATATTTTGTCCACGGGGTCCGCAGAAGTCCCCACCGGCTCCCCCGGGGCCAGATGCCCATAGTGAGCCGGCTTCTGAAAGTCCTGGGGCCCAGCTGAGGCCCCAGGGAGTGAAAACGAGGGAAACCACGCGAACTGCTTTGAAAGGGGCCCTTGGATACACAAGTAAATACACACAAATCCCAGGATTCCCCATACGGTTCCATATTGTGGGATTTTCGTCTCTCCCCCCCCACTTCCCATATTTTCCAACATTTTCGGGGGAATCGACAATTAATTGTGTCTGTGTGTGTTTTCCCCTGATTTTTGTAAGTGCGTTGGAGGTCTGGGGGCTTCTAACCCTCCCCTGGACCTCGGGCCTTGGGGGCCGGCGCGGCGACCACTGCCGCGGCGTCGGCGTCGGCGAGCTCTGGTCCCTGGCGATGCACGGCGCCGGCGTGTGCCTGAAAAGCCCAAGCAGCCACCCGACTTTGGGGCTGGGGCTGCCTTCTCAGACTTCCGGCGCACTGATCTGTGCAATCCTGTCAAAGACGGCACAATATACCCTGTGGAGCCGTACATCTGTCGTCACGGGAACCATCGCGACGGCTGGATGTCCCTCCTCTGGAGGGCACATAACAAAAACATGTGGGATGAGAAGACTGTTCACGGGGTCCAGAGGTCGGGGACGGTACCCCAAAATGTCAGAACTGAAGAACAAAAGCGGTTGATTTTGATCAAGACGCTGGAGGTCTGAGCCTCGCTCGCCCAGAACACTTCCTCGCCGGCGTTCCCGCAGAGCTCTCCGCCGAGGAGGCGCCTGTCCCGAGGCGGCGGGGAACTGCCGCCCAGCGCACCCGGGACACGCGACCCCGCGGAGGCCCCGCGCTTGTGCCGCCCTCCACCCGTTGACCTTCGCGCTGCGCGATGCGCGAGGCCTCGGGAGGGGGGGCGGCCGTCCACGTCCTCCTTCTGCTGCTGCCCCGAGGCCGGCGTCCTCATCCTCCGCCTGAGCAGGTCGAGGCCGCTGCTGAGAAGGCCTGCGCCTTGTGTCCTCATTCTTATTCCTCCGGCGTCTCCTTCTCGTCGTCCACGTTTTGGATCCCATGGCGAATCTGGGGGGCAAAACCTTGGCCAGACTGGAATAAGGTGTCCTTAAATGCCCTTTTCCAACACCCTGTGGGGGGCCATTTTGGGGCAACTTTTCGTGCGCTCCCGACAGCTGTGCTCTGTTAGCGTTCACCCGACTATCTTTTCCTCCTTCTCCTTCTCCTTCTCCTCCTCGCTCTTCGCCTCCCTCGACAGCGACGAAAAAACAACGACGACGACGCGACGACGACGACGACGACGCGACGACGACAGCGACGACAGCGACGGCGGTGGCAGTGCCAGCGACGGCGGTGACGATGGCGGGCGGCAGTGACGAGAGCGGCGGCGCTGACGGCCACAGCGAGGACGGCGGCGGCGCGAGTGACGGCGGCGGCAAGGACGGCGGCCGCGGCGACAGGCGCGCTGCGCGCCTCCCGCGTGGCTGCTCCGTCCGGCGTCCGCTCCTCGGCGACGGGCGCCCCGCAGGGCAGCGACGCGCCAGGGGACTC